AAAAAAACAATGGAATCTTGAAATTTGCAGGAAAATGGATGGAACTTGAAGAAACCATTTTGAGCGAAGTAACCCAATCACAAAAAGACAAACATGATATGTACTCACTCATATGTGGATTTTAGACATAGAGCCTACAATCCACACTGCCAGAGGAACTAGTAAACAAGGAGGACCCTAAAAGAGACAAACTTTGTCCCCTGAAGAAGGGGAAAGGGTCACTATCCCCTGAGCAAATTGAGAGCATGGGAAGATGGGGGAGGGAGTTACTAGAATGAGAAGGGAAGAAGAGGAAGGGTGCAGAGGTCATGAGGGAGCAGAAAGGTTGAGTCAGGTGTAGATTAGAAGAAAGGATATGTGATAGGTAGGGTTTTAGTTGGGGGGATGGTAGGGGAGGAAGGGAGGGAGAAGGGAACTGGGATTGTCATGTAATTCAATCTTGTTTCTAATTCAAAGAAAAAAAATCAACTTCAAATGGATCAAAGACCTCAACATAAAACCAATACATTGATAAAGTAGAGAATAGCTTTGAACACATTGGCACAGGAGACAACTTTCTGAACAGAACAAGGTTAGTTAGCACAGGCAGAGGCAGGCAGAGCTCCCGGTTTGAGGTCAGCCTGGTCTACACAGTGAGTTCCAGGACAGAAAGAGCTACACAGAGAAACACTGCTTTTGGGGAAAAAAAGAAACGCTAATGAATTCCCACTGAACTCAGTCATGAACTCTTTCCCCTTCCCAGTAAAGCTTGCCTATCAGCAGTTAGGACCCCCTGACTATCTTGGAGGTTTTATGTTAGAGAAGAAGAGCAAGAGAACACATCTTGTTTTCTGTGCCCCGAATTCATTAATTCCTTAAAAGTACAAGGCTCTGGGCTACTGACCATGTCCAGTTTTACCCTATGAAGTTTATATTGCTTGAGAAGATAAGTTAGGAGTGTGTGTGTGTGTGTGTGTGTGTGTGTGTGTGTGTGTGTGAGAGAGAGAGAGAGAGAGAGAGAGAGAGAGAGAGAGAGGGGGGGGGAGAGAGGGGGGGGGAGAGAGAGAGGGGAGCATGGAAACTATCAGTGTCAGTTTGTCGTCTTTGGACTCGGCGTGTTTGAGCACTCAGGATGCTGTGTGGAAGCCGAAGCCGCTCTTCCCGGGTGGACCCTCCGGCCAGCCTGGCCCCTCAGATGAGGGTTGCTCCAAGACAGGCGCTTGCAGTTGGCTCCCCTGCTGCTGCACCCAGGCAGCCAGGCCTGATGGCCCAGATTGCAACCACTGCAGCTGTGGTGGCTGTGGGCTCGGCAGGGGGTCCCACTCTGGGTCATGCCATCACTGGGGGCTTCAGTGGAGGTGGCAGTGCTGAGCCTGCAAGGCCTGACATCACTTACCAGGACCCCCAGGGAACCCAGCAACAAGGGCCATGCTCTCTTGAGATCAAACAATTTCTGGAATGTGCCCAGAATCAGTGACGTCAGGCTCTGAGAGGGCTTCAATGAGGTGTTGCGACAGTGCAGAATTGCAAATGGTTTAATCTAATCAAGAAGTTCAAACTGAAGAAATGGGCTCTGCCTAATTCATAGTGCAAGTGTGGCCCCTTAGTAAACAAATCTTACTTCTAATATCTCCATTACTTCAGCCATGAGAGAGTCCTAACTGTATATTCACTCAGCTTGTAGTGTTGGGGACTGGGCAAGTGATGGCCTCCTTGAACCAACTGTATTGTTTCTTGTGAGTTAATGAAAATAAAATTATTTGATTCTGAAAAAAAATTAGTGTCTTCATGTGTGTGTATAGCGTAGAATGTGACTCTGTGATTAGGATGCCATATAAGACAGTGCACACTCAACGTGAAGGTGGTACATATTTGCCATTTACTCATCATCTATAATAATAAACTTTCTTTAATATTGTTTTAGAATTTTATGTGACATACCCTTCTAGGTATTCCTACAAATGAAATCCTGTCCACTCAGTCCTGATCTGAAGAAGAAAGGAGCTGTCTATAACCTTCTCAGCCATCTTGACTGGAAAGGATATCCTTCACAGTGAATGTGTGAAGAGACCTTGAGTCTCTGAGAGGGGTCAGGTGTTTGTTGGACACAGCAGGCACAGGAGGGCAGAAACCACAATGTTCTCATCCATATGTGGAAGGAGAAAAGTTTCCTTTTGTAGAAGTTAGGAGCCAGAAGGGTCAAGGACATCACAAGAAAACCCATAGAATCAAGTAACCTGGGTTTGTAGGAGCTCATAGACACTGAACTGACAACCAGAGACCCTGTATGGGTCTACATATTTGTGACAGTTGTGTAGCTTGGTCTTCTTGTGAGACTCCTAGTGGCAGAAATAGGGGCTGTCTCTGATTCTTTTACTGGCTTTTGGGACCTTTCTCCACATACTGGGTCACCTTGCCCAGCCTTAATACATGGGGAGGTGCCTAGTCTTACTGCAACTTGATGCCAAGTTTTGTTGATACTCAAGGAGACCTGTCCTTTTCTAAACAGAAACGGAGGAGGAGTGGATTGGGGGGTGGGAACAGAGGGGTTGGGGTGGGATGAGGGGCTGGGAGGAGAGGAGGGATAGGAAACTGTGACTGGGATGCAAAATAAATAAATAAATTTATAAAGAAATCAAACACTGGTCACTAGAGGCTTGGCAATGAGGAGCTCATCAAAAATAGGTAGGATAAGTACCAAATATAGTTGGAGAGATCTAAGTTCCAGTGGGTCTTAGAATCATTTACTACTGCTACATGTGTTCCTGATGTACTTAGGTATGTGCATGTGCTACTGTGTGAATGTCAGACAATAAGTTCGTGTAGTTGCTTCTCTGCTTCCATCTTTCTATGGTTTCAAAGGATCCAACTCAGACTATCAGGCTAGCTATGCAAGAACCTTTGTGGCTGAGCCATCTCTCTCTCTATCCATAGCAGCAATATTTCACAGTATATTTAGAGTGTCTATAAGTTTGTTTACAGGATGCTATGATGAGTTATGCAATAAAGTATGAGAGAAGGCAGATCTGGCTTTATAGACCTGAAAACAGATAATCTGGAGGCAGAGAAAGAAGGGTCACTTGTTAAACAACTGTCTTGGCTTCAGGATCAAAGACATTCTGGGCTTTGTGATGAGATCCTGAATAAAGACTGAAAGAGGTGGGAACAACACACTGGAATAATAGTACTGGAGAAGTAACTTGAGAGATCTATATCCAGATTTGAAGGCAGTAGGAAGAGAGCACCACTGGGCCTGGCTTGGGCTTTTAAAACTTGAGAGCCTGCCCTTAGCAACACACCTCCTCCCACAAAGTAATGCCTACTCTAACAAACAGTTCCACCAACTGAGGACCAAGGATTCAAATAAAGTAGCCTGTGGAGGTTGTTTCCATTCAACTCACCACATTCTGCTCCATGATCCTCACAGGCTTGTGCTCAAAGTAATCTCTTAATTGCAACCCCCTGAAAAATCAAAAAGCAAATTATACTTCCAATATACAATTGCAGAGAAAATGCACTATAATTCCAAAAGAGAGAAATACGGGCATGGTGAAGATATACTGGACCAATGCTATACCAAAATCCAGCTGGACAAACTCCAAATCCTGTAGCTCTGATGTCAAAGAGCTTAGATGTTTGCCTCTTCTGTTTTGCTGACTGTAACATACTTTCTCTCTCTCTCTCTCTCTCTCTCTCTCTCTCTCTCTCTCTCTCTCTCTCTCTGGTTTTTCGAGACAGGGTTTCTCTGTGTAGCTTTGGAGCCTATCCTGGGAGACCAGGCTGGCCTCAATCTCACAGAGATCGCCTGCCTCTGCCTCCCGAGTGCTGGGATTAAAGGCGTGTGCCACCAATGCCCGGCTTTTTAAAAAAATTTTTTTTAAAAAAGACTATTTATTATGTGTACAACATTCTGCTTCCATGTATATCTGCACACCAGAAGAGGGCACCAGATCTCATAATGGATGGTTGTGAGCCACCATGTGTTTGCTTGGAACTGAACTCAGGACCTCTGGAAGAGCAGTCAGTGCTCTTAACCTCTGAGCCATCTCTCCAGCCCCCCATACTTCTCTCTCTTGGGCTGGTTCTACTCCCTGTCTGCAGTGATCGTTGGTGATATCTCACAGCTCTGGAATCTCCAACATCTTGGGGTCTTGAACACAATCCAGACTTAACTGTCAAAGCTTCATGCAATGGCCTCTATTCAGGGTCTGCCTGCCACATGCCTGGCTTCATAACATTCCTTAACTGTGGAGGAATATTCCTCAACCCCTTTACTCTAGTACCCTTCATGAGTCTAAAGTCAGTACCATCTGGCCAATGCTGCCAAGTTTGGCTGCCTGCTTTGGATGGAACCTGGTGCCCACCTTGAATTACAATTCATAAGCTTTGATTTATTGATGCCTTTTAGTGACATATAATTCTTTAAAAAAAGATTTTATTTATTTGTTATGTATACAACATTCTGCTTCCATGCATATCTGCACACCAGAAGAAGGCACCAGGTCTCACAACGGATGGTTGTGAGCCATCATGTGGTTGCTGGGAATTGAACTCAGGACCTCTGGAAGAGCAGTCAGTGCTCTTCACCTCTGAGCCATCTCTCCAGCCCAGACATATAATTCTTTACGCCTTTTCTATTTACAAGTTGAAAGCTTAGCTGGTGGAGGGCTTGCCCTGAGAACACCACCCCCTTTGTTACATCCTGCATCAGGCCTCCCACTATCTCCTTTATCACAAATTGTACCTTTTTTTCCTGCTTTCTCTTTTTTCACTCTAGTTCTGCATAAAAGTGGTTGCTAATTGCCACACAACAGAAGGAATATTAGGCTGCCCTGAAATCTCCTCTGCCAACAAAATTGAACCAAAACTCTTTAATTTAGCCTCAGGCAGATTCTTAGGACAAGGGCAAAAGTCCAGCCATATTCTTTGCCAAAATACCACAAGAATGTTCTATAGCCTAATTGGTAGTATTGTCCACCTTTAGGGTCTTAATAACTTGAATTGCTCTCAGCACCTCTGTCTTCCAAACTCCTATTAGTCTCTTAAGCCCTGCTTAGAGCATTCAGCAGCTTTCCTAGTCCAGCCTCAAAACAGTCTTCCAGATCCCACCAAAGAACAGCATGCTGAGGCCCATCACAGCAATATTGTTCTCCCTGGTCCAGCTTCTGTCTTACTCTTATATAGCTGTGATACGACACCATGACCAAGACAACTTATAGAAGAAGGAGTTTACTGGGGGCTCACCGTTTCAGAAGGTGAGTACATGACCATCATGGTGGGGAGCCCAGCAGCAGGCAGGTAGACATGGTGCTGGAGCACTAGCTGGCGGCTTACATCTTGAGGCACAAACACAAGTCAGAGTGGGGAGAGGGAGAAAGCCAACTGGGAGAGGTGTGAGCTTTGAAACTTCAAAGCCTTCCTCCAGTGACATACCTCTTCCAACAAGGCCATACCTCCTAATCCTTCCTCAACAGTTCTAACAGCTGAGGACAAAGCATTCAAATCTATGAGCCTATAGAGAACCATTCTCATTCAAACCACCACACAGGGGCTCACTATATGGCTGGGGCTAGTTTGGAACTCTCAATGTAGATCAGATTGTTCTTGAACTCATAAAGATCTGCCAGCTTCTGCTTCCTTGTGCTAGGGATAAGGGCATATGCCTCCATGACCAGCTAAGTTTTCATTTTAGAAATAATTTTATTTATATGTGTGAATGTGTATCTGTGTGTGTGCTGCACCATGTGTGTCCTGGGGACTGTGGAGGCCAGAAAAGGGCAATGGATACCTTTCAGCTGTAGTTACAGGTAGGTGTGAGGTGCCTTACATGAATGCAGGAAACTGAACTTGGGTCATCTGGGAGAGCATCCAGTGCTCTCAGCTACTCTTGAGTGATCTCTTCATCCTCTTAACCTTTTATTGAAACAAGAAATTATACATGTTTCTGGGGAAATGCTTAAACATCAGTCCATGTACAGGCATCATTAGGTGTGTTCTTGTAATTTTTCCCTTTGAGATATTTTGTGGCTATGATGCCAAGCTGATAGAAAGCTCTAGGATACAGACTTCTGCTCCATGAGGTAGGGGTGTGTGTGTGTGTGTGTGTGTGTGTGTGTGTGTGTGTGTGTGTGTGTGTGTGTGTGTGTGTATGTGTGTGTGTGTGGTTTGATCTGGCATTAAGAGGGTGAGACGACTGTCACAGGTAGAACAATCTCTGATGGTTTTCAGTGGTTAATAAAAGGGATGCATGGTTCTGGTTTGCTGAAGATAAGTGGATTTGCTAAGCTGAGTGAATTGTAGTGCTGCCACTGGGCTAATTTACAAAGTACTGGACAGAAGGGGAAAGGGACAAGATCTCCTGAGTCAATTAGGAATGTGGGGAGAGGGGGAGGGAGGGAGGAGAGAGAGGAGGGGAGAAGGGGAGTGGAGGAGAACATGAGGGATCAGGAAGATTAAGTCAGGGGAAGAATAGAGGAGACCAAGGAAAGAGATACCTTGATAGAGGAAGCCATTATTACAAGAAACCTGGCACTAGGGAAATTCCCAGGGATCCACAAGGATGACCTCAACTAACAATCTAAGCAATAGTGGAGAGGCTATCTTAAATGCCCTTCCTCTATAATGAGATTGATGACTACTTTATATGCCAGCCTAGAGCCTTCATCTAGTAGCTGATGAAAGCAGAAGAGATTCACAGGTAAGCACTGAGCTGAACTCCTGGAGTCCAGTTGTAGAGAGGGAGGAGTGATGAGCAAAGGAGTCAAGACCATGCTAGGGAAACATACAGAGACAGCTGACCTGAACAAGGGGTAGCTCATGGACTCCAGACTGACAGCTGGGGAACCAGCATAAGACCGAACCAGGCCCCCTGAACATGGGGGTGTCATTTGGGAGTCCTGGGCAGTCTATGGGGCTGCTGGTAGTGGAACCAGAATTTATCCCTAGTGCACAGACTTTGGGAGCCCATTCCCTATGGAGGGATACTCTCTCAGCCTAGATGCACGGGGGAGCATCTAGGTCCTGCTCCAAATGATGTGACAGACTTAGATGATCCCCCATAGGAGGCCTCACCCTCCCTGAGGAGTGGATGGGGGGTGGGGACATGATGGGGGCAGTGGGAGGACAGGAGGGAGAGGGAAAACAAGGTAAAATAAGATTGTTTGTAATTTAAATAAAATATTAAAAAAATAAGTCAGAAGAAAACACAAAGAGACTATGCAGTGAAAGTTTTAGTGGTGGTCCCAAGGTCCACGGACCATTTCCTTGGCTGAAGGAGTCTTAGTCATTCTGAGTAGGGCATTACTGACAGGAATGAAAGTCTAGAGAGCTTCAGGGTGTCAACAGAGACATACATTATAAGAGAAACCTTCCTAATGGGAGCGCTTAAGGAGCACAATAAACTCTAATCACATGCATACTGTGCATTATTATTCATAAAAATATCCATAGAAAACAAGCCTTTGGGTCTTTGGGGAGATAGCACATATAGGAATATGTTCAACTTTAATACTTTCCTTAATAAATAATTTAAATGTTATTAATTTATTGTAGAGAGATCCCAGGTTAGATTAAGGAGGACTGTGGAGTAGGATTTGAAATGGTAAACATGTTTTTTTTTTTAGATGAACAACTGAACAGTAGAGGGTAGAATTATAGTCTAGACATAGGGAAAGCCCATATGTCTACATAGGGAAAGCCCATATAGCCATAGAAATGTACATCTCAATCTCAACAAGTCAGCAGGCCCTGGATAGCCAATGACATGGAGAGCTATGATGACATGTTAGGTGGGCGTGCACCCCCTTTGTGATGTACTTCTGCCCTGGAACTCTGGGAACACCCTACACTCCATTATTACCTCACTTGCCCCACTCAGTTTCCTGAGACATTCATAGAGACAGACTGCTCTAGTTAAGCTGCTCCTCTAGGGTCAGCTGAATCAAGGCGTTTGGTCTCTTTCTAGGGGAAAGACTCCCTTATCCCTTCATGTCTAAGGTAAGTTCTTTCTGAGGGATACCCTAATAAGTTAAACATAAGCAGGTAGAAAAAGTTAGGAGCCTGTGTAGATCAACCAAGTACTTGTGCCATTCTTGAGTCTTCAGCTATCTTCAAAACTTAGTACTGTGTTGTGAGCTAAACCTTTACCGGGCAATTCCTTAAGGATCCTAGAAACTATAACCATGTGAGAGACTCACGTGCCACTATTTCTGAGGGAAGCCTCTTAGCTTCACAAGCTATATGCCTGAGAGTTCCTCCATCCTTAGCAACGGCAAATAGTCTCTGTTAGAGGTGCTACTTCCCAACTTCCTCTTGGATAAAGCTGCCATCTTCATGGTCCCATAGATACCTTAATGTCTACTCGATAAACTTTTCTGATGACTTCAGTTTAAGGACCCCTGGACTTTGAGATGCCAAATTCACTCTGCCTGACAGTTTGTCCTGACAGTTGGTTCTGGTGATTCCATCTCTTTTTTATCTCAGCAGGAATTCCTAAATTAGCCCAGTAATTCACACTCTATGTACCAGATCCACTTCTTTTTGGCACAGCAGAGCCATATAGCCCTTTCCTTGACCTCTGAAAACCATTAGCTGGGAGACTATTAAACACATGGCAACCAACTTTACCGCAGAATACACCACAAAGTATCTGTACATGTTACAGGACTCTGTACCAAAGCCAGCAATCTAAATTACTTAATAGGATGATACAGGAGAATTATTTGAGCCCAGAGTTTCTCTGTCACCTTAGCATCATATCCATACCATGTCTCAAGGGGGAAAAAATCAAGAATTGGTAATGATGTAGACACATGGATTTAAATTTCAGCAGGGTCCCAGAAATGTGTCTTTTATTTAAAATTTTATTGTGTCTGTTAATTTTTTAAACAAAATAAAAGTTTTGTATTTACTGATGAAGGAAAGAATTCTGCTGGGTAGAGGGGTGAGCAAGTGACTGAAATTGAAAAGACAATCTAAGGTTGTCTTTAACATGATAAGTCTTACATTTAGTGATATGTACCTAATAGCCTCGAGGCCAGGATGGTATTAATGGTGGGAAGTTAAGGAACTACCCAAAGCTGGAAGGGAGCATGGAAGGTGAAATGTAAGAAAAGAATAATGGTATACATGAATGAGTAGGTATACATGAATGAGTAGGTATACATGAATGAGTAGATCAGGATGAAAGCCATCTTTTGAAATCTAGCCACAAAATCGATTACAAAATAAAACACATTTACAAAGGAAAATAGCTCAATGAAGAGACAGCATTATTTTGTTAGGTGCCAGTCGCCAAGCCTAAATTTTATAGTCAGGATCCACATGGTAGAAGGGGATAATGGACTCCTGTAAGGTGTTCTCTGACCGTCACAGACATTTAATGACATGTGAAGGCATGGGCACACATACAAAAACACACTAAAAAAGTAAGAAAATACTAAAACATATTTTGAAGTCGATTTGCTGCCTCTCTAACATAGGCATGTTAGTTTTTACACTGCTCTTTATTTTATGAGACTAAGTCTCTTATATATAGTACAGGATGGCCTTGAACTCTCCCCACCTTCCTGTCTCATTACCCTAAGAGAATTTGTTCTGAGGTTTGTTCATGATTTATTTGAATTGATATACAATAATAATGCACATACAATTAAAATACAGTATGGTGATTCAAGATACACATGTGTGTGCTTATCAAATATGGGTAATTCATATTTATTTGTCCTTATGTATTCATCATTTCTCTGTGAGTGAAGTTTTATAACCTCTCCTACTATTTTCTGGTAAAACTGGGAAATTAATGCAAGGGCCACTTACATGCTAGGTAGGAATGTTGTAGGATTTAAGTATCTATTGCCCAGCCTGGACTTGATTTCACTTTGTAGCTCAGGCAGGCATTGTACATAGGACCCTTCTACCTCAGCCTCCCAACTATCTTGTATGACAGGCATAGGAATGAAACTTTGCCTCCTCTTTTTGTTCCTTACAAATTCACCATATGAAGATATAAACTAGTCACTAAAGTGTACTGCAAAATAACAGCAGCTATTCTTTGTCTTTGCATGTATTGGGCTTGTTGTACCTTCTTCTGAACTCCCCACCACCCATCTCCCAGTGACAACTGCTTCAATCTTAGCTTCTATGAAATCAGTTTCCCTTTCCTCATAGGGGTGAGAATATGTGTCTGTGCTTGCTCAATTCAATATCTTTCTTTTTTTCTTAATTCCAAGGAACACTCCAGGGCAATAATCAGGATAGAAGCTTGACCCATTCTCAGAGACTAACTTCATCCATGCTCATAGAATCCAACTGACTCCTAACCACTAATTCTCCCATAGACCTAATCAGGGGTAGGTGATCTCAGGATAAAAAGGACACAAGGAAATTTCACTTACTGAGTGTTACTGTCCATCCACACTTCCTTCCTTCACAGGACATTTTGTGCTGGAAGAAAATCAGATAGTATCTTTAAAATTCCACTGATCCCACCAACATGAAAACCGAGTGTTGCCGTGTGAAGAGACCTGGAGAACCACTTAATGAACCAAAGAAGATCGTTCAGGTGAGGTGACCAGGCAGGGGGTGGGCAGAAGCAACTGAGTGACCAAGGGCCACTGTAGTAAGATTTCTCAGAGGGTGGAAACTAGAAGCATTCAAGACAAGGACCAAAGTCTCCACAGGACCTCCGTAAGTCTCAGGATTTCTTTCATTATGTCCTTCCAAAGCATCCTTGAGGACTTCAGATTGGTGATCTAGTACTAAATGCATTTGGTGTCACAGCTCCTTGTAATGGGTGGGGGCAGTGAGGGCGGTGAGAACAAATAACCAGCACTGAGTATTTTCAGTGTAATTGGGAAATGGCTGTTATTCTCATCTCTCACCTGACTTTCACACTCCCCAGAATCAATTATCTTGATTTTCTAGGTGGATCACTGAGGTCCTCCAACACAGAGGGCATTATGGGATGAATAGCACACATGTCCAGCACAATAGTTGCCAGAATTTACATTTCCTTCTCTTCTAGCCCTTCCAGGATATTTGCGCATATTTTTCGGAGGAAGAGTGGGCAAAGCTGACCAAATGGCAGAAAAGTGCCTACATGTATATGAAAAGGAACTATGTCAGAATGACTGGCCTAGGTAACAGGAAGTTCTGGGTTCAGACAAGCCTGGGTGACTCCCAGTTATTTTCTATGCCAGAGTTTCTCATCAGCACGTAGCGGGTCCCTCTCCCGCACCATACTTTTCTTCATGGAGAACTGTCAAGGTGCTTGCTGAGCATGCTGTTCTCTCCCATCTTGTTCAGGGTAGAGAGCATAGAGCACAGGAACTAGGGCTCAGGCCTGCAGCCCACACTTTTCTTCCCTGCAGGCTCTTGTTCTTGTGGGCCTTATGGTCTGTGCTGCATCCCAGGTTCTAGCTGCATTTCCCCTCTTGTGCTGTCTGTTAAAGAACAAGCACTTAGCCTGTTGGGGCCCACTCCATGTGGTGGGATGCCATGCTTAGTCTTAACGTGTGGGAGAGGGGCCTGGCCCTTCCCCAACCTACTGTGTCAGACTTTGTTGACTCTTCATGGGAGCCCTTACCCTCGAGGAGGAGTGGACTGGGGGTGAGCTAGAGGGGAGGTGAGGAGGGTGAGAGGAGGTAAGGGGATGGGAGGAGGGGAGGGGGTGGGAGGAGGAGTGAGAGGGAGAACTATGGTTGAAATGTAACATGAAATAAAAAAATTAAAAAGTGGAAAAAAAAAGAACAAGTCCTGTGCTTTGTCTTAGGGGTCACAGTCAACCAACCAGTTTTCATGCGTTGCAAGGAACAGGTCAAAGAACCTCCAGCGGAATGTGATAAAGCTAATGGCCCTGATAGTAAAGGTGAGTGGTCAGGGAGGGGCTGTGAAGGATGGCCTTTTCAGGCAAGATGCCTGGTAAGGTCATAGGCAGGTCTTTTCTTCTTCTGGTTAGGGCTGTGTGGAACAGAGTTCATTCCGAGAGTTATATAGAAGACCCTGTCATATGAAAGTCTAAAACATCAAAGACAATGTACATTATTTTGGATAACAAGTAAATGGCAAATGTATAACGTCTTCAGTTGGAATGCACACAATCCTGTATGACATCCTGAACACAGGCAGACAAAACCCCCTATACACACACATGCAGACACTGCACAGAGCTCTCTCTCTCTCTCTCTCTCTCTCTCTCTCTCTCTCTCTCTCACACACACACACACACACACACACAGTGACTCTCCAGGAAAGCAGATCAGATTGCACAAGCTCCCACAAGCACTTCACTTGATCGTAAACTCCAGGCCTGAAATTTATGCCCAGGTTTTGAGAGCAAACGAGAGTTATTGCACCAGATAGCCTCCCAAAACACTGAGCAGAATCACTTATCCTTCCTCATGCAGTTAATACCTGAATATTCAAACCATTTCATGTGTTAAGTTTTTCATTATTCCACATCTGAAAGTGCAGACAGGCCAGAATCAATCTAATATTATGAGGTAAAGGAAATGTGCTGGGATAGAATGAGGCAGTGATGAGGCTGAAACAACATTTCTTAAACAATCATAAGGAGACTTCGAAAGTGCGATTACAGATAATGCCTATGTCATTAGTAAAGTCAAGGGAAGCCATGCCCCACCAACTCCTCCTTCATGAGTGGGCTGTAACCCTCCACTCTCCCATTGCCTAAATTGGCAGGATTCTGAAGCTTTGAAACATTTCCTAACAAACAAAACCTCTGACTTGTCACTTTCCATAGATGAAGATTCGGAAGATGATTTTTATGCTCGACAGATAAAACGCATAAAGGCGAGTATCACCTATTTCTGTATGAGTGCACCATGTTTGTCCTTCAGTTTATGTCCACATTGTTGAGGATAGTCTTTCTTTTTGGTGGTGGATAAGTGTGTAAAATATATTTGACACTTAAAGTGTAAAATTTAATGTGAAGCACCACATGTTTCAAACGCCAGACTTTGGGTCTTGTTAATTTGGCATGTGATTTATTTATTTATTTATTTGTTTGTTTGTTTGCAAGGCCCTGTATTAAATATTATCTAGCAAATTAGAATACCCCCAATCAGGTGGCTGAAATACCACCTGCAGATGACTATTTACCAAAATGCCTTATTCTAGCTTCTCTTTTGTAGCTGACACGAGTGACAGTAGATCTTTATGACATACGTGAAAAACTTGGTGGCAGAGACTCTGTTTCAGCTTCTTCCATTGTGCCAGGTTGGATGCAGTTTAATTCCTGTTCCTTAACATAACGTCTTCATCCTTTTTCAATATGGTATTTAATTCTTTGAGGATTTCATAAAAGGTATTTTGATCATATTCACACACACCCCACTCTTTCATCTAATGAATCTAAAACATCTTTCCTAGAAGTGTTTCTCACTCCTCAAATTCATGTCTTTGGTTTTTATTCTTTTAAAATAATCAACAGAGTCTAATTTGTGCTATCTGTATACTGTGGGATGTGGAATCATCCACTAGAGGATGGTGGGCCTAACAGCCATGCCCTTAAAGAAAACTGACTCTCCCTCCCACAAAAGCATTCTCTCATCAACAGCTACTCACAAAGGGGTGGGAGCTGATGAGTCCCTACTCACTCCATGCTAGAATGCTGGCAGGCTCAATCCTATGCAGGTCTTACGTGGGCAAAGACAGCTCCTGTGAGTTCATGAGTGTAACAATCCTGTCATGTCCATAAAACACTATTGCTCTGGTCCTCCCTTTCTTCTGCTTCTTACAATCTTTGTCCTCTTCTGCAATGGTTCTTGAGCTTGGGAGGAAGGTGCTTGACATATATGTTCAATGTTTAGCTGAGCAATCCATAGACACTTATTTTCTGCAGTCTAACCAATTGGGAGTTTCTGTATTAGCCACTACTCACTGTACAACAACACTTCTCTGATAATGTCTGAGAGCTATTTATGGGTTGAGAGATAGGGATTTAGAGGTCAGTTTCTACTACATTCATTTAGCAAAATCTTAGAAATGGGTTTTCACTATGGGGTCTGTGCAACCATAGGTTCTTGTCAGATTTACAGTACCAGGCCTGCATTTCTTCAATCACAGCATTCTAATAACTATAGGAATGACAATGGGACTCAACACAACTGTGCTAAATGATTGACATGAACAGCACTTCACTAGCTCTCTAGTCCATAGCCCAGACCACTGAAATGCCGTCATGTCTTCTTTCATTTATGAAATCTAGAGTTTATTCATTCTTTCAGCCTGATACTTTGCAAGCAGGAATCACAGTGACCTGGCCTCTGCTCTGTAAATGGACCATGCACTCCTCTGCTGGAAATGACAGGCCTTTCGCTGTGGACTCCTCCTACTGTGATCAACCTCAGGACACACCTATACCTAGGAGTTTCTCTACAGTTGCAGGTTCCAGTCTAGTGTAGATAGTTAAGGGAGCTGAGGGTTAGCAGCCAGTGAAGACACAGTTAAGGACTGAATGAAAAGAAGGGGTTATAAGAGCACGTATTCAGTTTTACTATCATTAAACTTTCCATGTGGGTGTGTTTGGCATGCCTATAATTGCAAAGCTCTGTAGGCTCATTAGACCAAGACTTTTCTAGGAGATCTTGTGTCAAAACCAAAACCAAATGAAAAAAAAAAACAAGAGAAATACAGAGGGGGTATGGAGGGATTGCTCAGTGATTAAGGGTATCTGCTGCAGTTCCAGAGGACTGGAGTTCAGTTCCTAGCATCTACATTGGGTGGCTCACTATTATCTGTCACTACAGTTCCAGAGGATCTGATGCAGTACTCTTGCTTCTCCAGACATACCCACACATGTGACACACACACACACACACACACACAGACACACAGACACACAGACATACACACATACACATAAGTAAAAAATGTAAACTAAAGGGCAGTGAGTTGTGTTTCCAAGCTCAGAAACAATGTTCTTTCAGTTATACACAGACTCTCTCATGCATGAATCAGGAAGTTGAATGGAAGGCAGCTTATGGGGGCTGGAGGGATGGCTCAGAGGTTAAGAACACTGACTTCTCTTCCAGAGGTCCTGAGTTCAATTCCCAGCAACTACATGGTGGCTCACCACCATCCGTTATGAGATCTGGTGCCCTCTTCTGGTGTGCAGATACACATGTTGTATGTGTATACATAATAAATAAATAAAATCTTAAAAAAAGAAAGGCAGCTTATGATTAGTGACCAATGACACATCTTGATATCAGCAGAAATGGTGCAGGTGCTACCTTACCTAATTTCACATGAAGTGTTCTCACCAATGTCCTGTGTGATACCACACTTGGCAACACATTCTTTGATACCTAGATCAGCATGTCTCCTTTCTTTCTTCTCCATTGCCTGCATTAATCTGCACACCCCATCATGGTACAATATTGTCTCTTTCCTTCTATTCACTCTTTTATTTATTGTCCACGTAGTGAAGCACAAGCTTATGTGTGAAGCCTTATATTTCATAGACTATCTGCCTTTTTAGTAGTGGGGAGGAAGGGTATTGGCATGAGTCAAAAGAGGTTAATGAGGAGGATACGTGATCAAAACACATTATATATGCATATCAAAATGCCATATTGAAAGTAACAACATATATAATTAATATATGCTAATATAACCCTTAGGAAAAAAGAGACGATACGTAAACTCTAAGACAATATAGAAATGCTACTCATAGCCTGAACAAGTGCTTTAGTGTTTAGATAAATGCCGAAGAAGGCAGCATGGGAAGAAAAGAACCCAAAATGAGCTCCAGGTGCACTAGGCTCAGGAAGGGCCCAGAGACACCTGCACACTCAAGAGAAAGCACATGTTTTGTGGACAGACAGTAGGGTGGCAATGGATGAGAGGAAATCATGGAAGAAACAACACTCTGGTTTCCCTGGCATGTCCTGGGTGTGTGGCATGGGCCCTGAAATATTCAAGGCCTTTCTGGGTGAGGAGGTCACCCAGCACCAGTTCAGATGTTAGAATGCATCTCCATAATCATAATTTGACTTGTCCTTCTGAAGGCCATGCTACACTGGACAAGTCTTCTACATACTCTGCGGTTCACTTCTTAAATCCATACAATATAAGAGAATGATCACAGGGTCCTCCTTCTAAAGAAGGATTAAATGGGACATCTTTACCAGATGATGGAGGAGGGGGACCAAACAGTACACTGGATGGTATAACCGGATGTGGCCTTTGGTCTGTACTGCTGTATGGCTAACATCTCAGTCTTTGTGAGTCAGCAGATGTAAAAAACAGACAAGAGAAGGCCCATGGACTCATGGGAGGAACGAGCCCCCTTCTTTTCTGACAAAACAAGGCCCTAAACTATCTATCTCCCATGCACTAATCCCTTCGTATTTCAGGAGTCAAAAACGTTCGGGTAAATGCCTGGACCCACCGGTTGAGGGAAAGGAAGAAGCGAGTGATATATGAAGAGATCAGTGATCCCGAAGAGGACGAGGATGACGATGATGATGATAATGATGATGATGACGACGACGACGACTGAATATCTGTAAGTGGTCCTTTGACACATCACCCAAACCCAGAATACACACTTTTCTTGGATGGTATTGGATCAGGCATCCACTTCTAGTCTTTTGTGGTGCAACACTGAAGCTGAAGTAATGTGCTATGCTTCCTTTACTGCAAAGCTGAGTTATTTGGAGACCTTCCCTCCCCAGGATGTTGTGGGCTCCCCAATCCCAGGTCAGCTTTCAAAGTACAGGCCACACCTTTCTTTGGCTTAGGAATTCAAAGACAAGGTGAGGCAGTCACTGTGCTCTGAGCAGAGGGTTTGCCTGTGGAGCAGAGGCTCTGAGGTTGGGTGGGAGAAAAACATGTAGGCTTTGAAAGACAGGAGGAAATAGACCAGTGAGTAGGCAGTGTGAACTCACTAGCATTTTTTTTCTTTCTTGTCTCAACCACAGAGAGTCAAAATAAGCCCCGGATGAGAAGAAGAATGTGGTTGAAATTCAGTATCAGAGCTACAACTCTGAAAGCTTAATTACAAGTTATATATAGAGATATGTGTGTATTTACTTATTTAATATTTACTTATTAAATTCATTATAGTTTTAAGAGTTAAGCATCATTTTTCATGTAATTTGTCAAGCATTCTCTTAGCAATTTTGTAGGATGTGTCAAACACTCTGTCACAACTTTGTCCCAAGCATTCCCTATGTATTATCATCACTGTGCCAAGTCCCATTAGAATTGTTCCTCCTCTGACAGGCCATCTTTAAGCATAGATTTTGCTTTATGGCATCTGGTTAGCACTGGGGATACTACATGCTAAGCACTCTATTAGTATTATTCTTACTGTGTAAAAACTACTCTGGTAGAATACCAATGTTTCAAGCAGGCTAGATGGCTCAGTGGTAAAGGGTCCTCCTGCCAAACCTGATGACCTGAGTTCAATCCTAAAGACCCACCCACATGGCGGACAGAGAGAACTGACTCCCTCACAATGTCTTTGACATTCACAACTGAATGAACACACACACACACACACACACACACACACACACACACACCCACTAAATAAACACAAATATAATAAAAGAAGTCTATCAATTATTCCATTCATTGAGGCATATTGCTATTGCATACTGTTGTTTGTCTGCCCTGTAGCTGTCTTAGGAACCATGTACTATCAGTCATCCTCTGCACTGAAGCACACTACCCTTCCCTTGCTCAAGACTACTGAGCAGAGTTCATTTGTTTATTTTAACATGTTTCTCTGTATTTGTACACACATATACAAGTCATCACTATGATAATCTGTCACTTGCCATGTTCCACTAGAAATGTATGTAGTCACGGCCATCTTATTCATTTTCTGGTCAGTGCATACTTCCCCCTCTGTCTGCACACAAGTGACAAATTCAATTTCTGTGGTGTAGGAGAATCTGGATTTTCTTGACAACACATGTGACCTTCATTTATGTAAGAGCCTGAGGCTCAGTGTACATCAATGATCTAATCTTACCTTTTTAGAAGTAAGTGGTAATATCTGATTCTAGGGATTGAACCCAGGTCCTCCTGCATGCAAGGCAAGTGCTCTACGACTGAGCTACACAGGACTAGTAGTTACTGCTCCATTGCTGACAAAATGCCTGAGAAAAATAAAGGAAGGGAGGAAGGTTACTTTGGGCTTATAGACTCAGTGGGTTCAGTTGGAGGACGCTTTCCCCATTCATGAAGCATGTAGGAGAGGCTGTTCCTCCCTTATGACTGACTAACATACCCAACAGGACTAGGATCAAGGTGTCACTCTTGAAAAAAGAAAATAAGACACACTGACAGAGATTTGGGACTTTATATGAACATGAAGAGATGATGAAGTAGTCATTTAACAGAAATCTAAGGAAGGTGGCCTAATTGGTGTGGGACTAGAGGCTGAAACATTAACAGATGCCAAGTATAAGGTCAAGCCTGAATGGCATCAAAGGCAGAAGCTTTCAGAGAATAACAGATTTAAGGCACGTATCTGAAGAACACAGATGGTATAAATGAGACCTAGGGCTCTGGACCAATGTAGACAAGGGACATATAATCTGTGTGTGCCGCAGTCATGTCTAGACTTCATTAATATTACATGGCAGATGCTATGAGGTGAGTTGTGTTATACACTATTTCACACACTATTCATATGTGGGAGCCATAATGCCCAATGTAGCTCTCCTAGGGGTGATACAGTTAATGTGGGTTCCTATGGCTATGGCTTTGATGAATGGAACTTGTGGCCTTGTGGAAAGGTAAGAGACAAGAGATCTCTGCCTCAGTACTATGTGAGGATGCAGAGAGGCATCAGAGGTGCTGATAAATGATCCTGCTCAACAAAACAAGCCAAGTTCAGAAAGACAGATGGTTCATACTTCATTTCAATGAGTAACCACATTTTAATTTGTATTCTTGGGCAATTTTGTGTGTAGGGCATGGAACTAGACAGGGTACCATAAAATGGGAAGCTGAGTCCTTAAAGTGGTAAAAAGGGTGACTCTCTTTATACAAGGGGCATGACAGTAACAGGGATAATTGGGGAGAAAGAAGGGGACTAACAAGATGAGGACAGATGTTGGGACAAGGTAATTGGAAATTTGATTAAAAACCAAGAACATGGGGGAATATGTCACTATGAATCCCATTACTTTGTATGCTACCCTAAAAACATTAAGTAAATAGAGTCCTGAGAATGAAATAAAAAAAGAACACAGTCTAATTTTGAAGCAGAATCAGTGGTCTTCTGGTGGAGAAAAAAAAATCTCATATTTACAGAAAACTGGGATCCACAAAAATGGAAGTTGGAAACTGGCCATTCTTGTCACTCTCTAGAAGTACCCTTACCCTGTTATCTGTCTCGCTAACACCCACTGTATGGCCATGAGCACAATCACACATGTCAAGTAGAAAGTGAAGGCTACTCCCAAGGCAAATGCTAATAGTGGCAGACAGGTGCCTTCCAGCTGCAATAGCATGCTCAGAGGGCTGTGGGATGGACTTGTGTAGGGAGACATGGTAGCCCCGCCTCCTAGTAGCCCCGACAGGTGTGCCTGTCCACACCCATGATAGCGTGGTCAGGGGAGGTCGAAGATGATGCAGAGAGAATTCTTAAGAGGCCATGAACACGTGGATGCCCCTTTTCTCTGGCCATGCAAGCTTGTGGCCTCTGGGCATGCTCTGGCTTGTGTTTGGGCTGGTGTTTATCTGAATAAAGAAATCTTAGCCTTATGGACTACGGATCATCTTTGAGCGTACGCAATAGTTGGCGCCCTGACACCCACGACCCCATGCAGCACCCGCGCCCGCCGGGAGCAGAGCTCCGCGTGCAAACGCTTCACATCCCGGGCCTCTGCTTTCCGGCCCAGAAGCTGCAGGGAGCGCCCCGCCACGGTATCTCCATCCACTACGGGAAAACGTTGGGCCATACCTCTTCCACTGCACTGGATCCAACTTACTCCGTTTCAACTGACACTCTGACCAGAGCCTCGAGTACTGACTTCAATCAAGTTGAGGATTTCAACCTAGATCTTCAATTAAGAAAATTCCATCTAACATGGACTGGAGATAACCCATTAGAGACTTTCCCTATACTAACATTTTTTTTCCACAGGACCCCACAAGGCTACCATCGTCTCATTTCAACAGGAAGTAACTTAGGAGATGCTACGCCCCCGCTCCCCATTATTGTTTATTAGGGTAATGTAAGCCTAATTAGGAATAACTTTCTTATTGTTTAGAGTTGGGATTGGAAGGAGGTGTTCAAGTTAGACACCCTTTCCACATGACTTTAGGGCTTAGCCGGAATAGACATAGTTAGGATTTGCAATAGCAGATTATTGTATCTTCTTATATTTCACCTTTATGATTGTTAATTTTGGATCTTTCACACTATTAAGTTTTAATCCTCTTTTAGACTAAAAGGGGAATTGTAGGGAGACACTGTAGCCCCGCCTCCTAGTAGCCCCTACAGGTGTGCCTGGCCACGCCCATGAGGGCTTGGTCAGGGGAGGTTGAAGATGATACAGAGAGAATTCTTAAGAGGCCACGAACACGTGGATGCCCCTTCTCTCTGGCCACGCTAGCTTGCGGCCTCTGGGCACGCTCTGGCTTGCGTTTGGGCTGGTGTTTATCTGAATAAAGAAATCTTAGCCTTATGGACTACGGATCATCTTTGAGCTTACGCAATATACCTGGTGTTTTAGGTTTCTGAAAATATGGCCTAAACCATCTTGTAGTGCAGGCGTGGAATAATAGCCAGAGCTCAAATGATTTATGCATATTTAAGCATTCTTTATATGCACCTATAGGGATTAAAATGTATATGATTTGTCTTGATCATATTAAGCACTCTAAATAGTAACTATTTATGAAAATATCAAATACACAATGAAAACAACTTAAGTGATCCCAGTGCCAATGGAGACATTTGGAAGTTCTGTATCCAAATTATTCAGAATTCAATCTGTGCTTGCATTTGAATTTTTCTCCCTGGAGGATACTCAGTAGGTACATAACCACCTGGACATGACACTGAATCTGGGTGTGGGTACCAGTGCTTTGTAGGTGGGCTGGCATGGGCTGCTCTTGAAAGCACCAAATTCACCCAGTCTCTTTATTAAGTCACTTCTACCAGAGCTATAGGTCCCAATATTGAGCCATCTTCTACAATTTATGGCTCCAGGTGCCGGAGAAACTGTTGTTACAAGGAAATGAAAAGCACAGTTACTGCATGCTGCCTTGTTTTAATTGCAGACTCTGGTAAACTGGGATCTTCATTTGGCTCATCTGGCTACCCTTCAGAGGCTCTGCCCAGATGCTCTTCACCTTCACTCTCATTCTTAGTGTGTCTGGACCAGCCGTCTCCCCCAGAAACTCTTCATAGAGTAGAAAATCTGGTTCCAAGTCACCAATTTTACCCAGCGTGATGGGCATAATTTTAGGAAAAAATCCGAAGTTGAACAATGCCAAGTTTATTGTCTCTTGGAATGAGAGAAGCTGGGCATA